TGAGAGTACTCACAAGGTCAAAGGTGCATGTACAGCTTCCTATATTAGGTGTAATACCACCATTGATTTTCCCCTATTAGTCTTTGTTAAATTTGCACTTTTCAAAAAATTGTGCAGAATTTATCTTTGTTTCAAATAAAGAAATACTTGGCATGAGTAAAGTTTGATCCTGTCCAGTACTATAGAAAAAATTTCACATAACATTTCATTGCATATAAGAAAATAACCATCACTGGAAGTTAACCAATCAAATTTTCCCCCTTTTTTAACCTGTATACAAGCTTTAGTAACCATGTAACCTCAAGTTTCCAAAATATTCTATAGAAACCCCAAATAAAAAAATAATGGTGCTTTGAAATACCCAAGATATATGTTTATGACCCAGAAATGTTTTACTGCAATGAAATGTAGGATCAATTACCTGCAACTGTCAAATTCAAGGGAATATTTTTTTTCGACCTATTTTCGTATGCAACCGGATGTGACGTACTATGATTTGGTGGTATTACACCTCCAAGGTTATGGGAGGGTTGAGCGCTCACTAACATGTCTAATCCCGCAAAATTCTTCATGTGCCTGTCCCAAGTCAGGAGCCTAAATATCAGTGGTTGTCGTTGGTTCATGTCAGCCATATTTGTTTTTCGTAAATTGTTTTGTTATAATGTTGGCTGTTAGTTGTTTCATATTCATTATGTCGGGGCCTTTTATAGCATACTATACGGTATGAGTTTTTCTCATTGTTGAAGGCCGTTCGGTTGTCTATAATTGCTAGCATCCGCTTCATTTGAACTTTGGCGGATAGTTGTCTCATTGGCAATCATACCTCATCTCCTTATTTTTATATAAAAAGCGCCGAAATGACAAATGTAAAAGAATTCAAATCGAATAAAGAACTGTGAAATCTGTGAACTGTCAGTATCTGTTGTAGTGTGAACGTGAAACTGTTCAAACAAGTTCTTAGGATGAATATGAGAGTCTTTTCTTGGTTAGAAAGTTATACATAACGAAAATATAACATTGTTTTACTTCATTTGTGGTGTACTGGTGTACTGTCTTAAAATCATCGGAGGTTTCCGTTGTTATTATATTAATTGATGTGTTTCCCTCGGCTTTGTTTTTGTAACCCGGATTCGTTTTCGCTTAATCAATTTATGACTATTGAACAGCGGTATGCTACTGTTACCTTTATTTAGACTTCAATGAAGTGAGGGACTGTTAACTTGGTTTTTCTGTAAGTCATTTCTTAAATAAAAATGAATAGTAACAATGACTGTTGGTTAAAAGAGATTTTCCTTGGGTTTTACTTTACATGGTTAGTTCTGTTTATTTCTATATGTTCAAATTTAACTAATGTACATTATAATGTCAAAACAGTAGACACAATATGTTTCTAATGTTTCATTAAGTAGTATAAAAATGCTACGCATTGTAAATACAATATACAAATTAAGGAGCAACACTTTCATGTGTTTATTACTGATGAAATACTTATCATGCATTATGCAGTGATTTTAACATTGAATCGGGTAGAGTTTTAATACTTATGTGTATCTGATTGAATATTATGATTTGACTCATCTTATGTTAGGCTACATATTTGGTTTAGTTCTTTTTTGTAGTAATTTATAGTATAGTTAAAAACTACAGCTCACCAGACAAAGATGCAAGCAATAATTAAAAAAAAAATCAACGTTTAAAATTTTTTTTAAAAATAAATATAAAATGAACCATTCTTCGTTAATTGATTTTGACATAACTTAGTACTTTGGTTTTCTGGTTTGAACTGTCTTACAGTTGTAATGGTGTGTCCTTTTAAAGTTTGCTTTGCGGTAGGATATTGCTAATTGTTTAAGACCGTCCAGTGACCTATAATTGGTTATTTTTTCGTCTAATTAGTCTGCGAAGTTACGTGAAAAAAAATGGAAAACAACACGTTTAATATCTTCATGTGTCCGAAGCGCTTTTCTGGATTTACTTTCATCAGGAACGCTCAAAGCCAAACATTTGAAATCCGAGGATGTATAAGTACCGAAACCGTTGAAGAGCTATATGACAAAAATACCTAAAATAAATAGCCAAATTCATCTAAAGTCAACTTTGCCTGAGGGAGTTGAAACCTTAGTTTCTTAATAATTTCAAAATTTAAAAACGGACAATTTTAGAAAAGTTTGTTTAATCATGTCAGTACCGAAGTACTGACTACTGAGCTGATGATACCCTTGGGGACTGATAGTCCACCAGCAGAGGTATCGACCCAGAAATGTAAAAAATTGAAAACAACACGTTTAATAATTTCATGCGTCCGAAGCGCTTTTCTGAATTTACCTTCATCAGGAACGCTCAAAGCCAAACATTTGAAATCTGAGGATGTATAAGTACCGAAACCGTTGAAGAGCTATAGCTATATGACAAAAATACCTTAAATAAATAGCCAAACTCATCTAAAGTCAACTTTGCCTGAGGGAGTTGAAACCTTAGTTTCTAAATAATTTCAAAATTTAAAAACGGACAATTTTAGAAAAGTTTGTTAAATCATGTCAGTACCGAAGTACTGACTACTGAGCTGATGATACCCTCGGGGACTGATAGTCCACCAGCAGAGGTATCGACCCAGTGTTGTAAAAAATTGAAAACAACACGTTTAATAATTTCATGCGTCCGAAGCGCTTTTCTGGATTTACCTTCATCAGGAATGCTCAAAGCCAAACATTTGAAATCCGAGGATGTATAAGTACCGAAACCGTTGAAGAGCTATATGACAAAAATACCTAAAATAAATAGCCAAATTCATCTAAAGTCAACTTTGCCTGAGGGAGTTGAAACCTTAGTTTCTTAACGGAAAATTTTAGAAAAGTTTGTTAAATCATGTCAGTTGTTCTATTAGCATCCATTCTGCATCTTCTTATTTTATGATAATTATATACTATAATCATAAAACCAATAACCATAACTTCAACTTGAAATGGTTAAGAATAAAATTAAGGGAAAACATGAAAATAAAGGATAAACAAATTACTCTGTATTTTAAGATCTACCACAATGAAAACATGTCGCTATTGAGTTTAGCCACAAACATATCGTATCAATCAACTAATTCGTGAAAGTGGCCGTTAAACTCACGTAGTGTCGATATCAGTCGTTTTTCCTCATAACTCTGTTAGAGCAGTTTTTTTTTAAAAGGAGAACACCCCTGTTACTGAAGTCCGTATGGTGTGAATATGCACACACGTAACGTATCAATTGAGATACGTAAACGCCATAAGATGGGGAAGAGGGTATGTCTACTACTGCGAAATGAGAAGTTGATGATTGGAAAATATAAATCTTTGTTTGTCATAGATTATGCTTTGAAGTTGTCCATCTGTGTAAATATTGAGGAAAATCTAAAATATGAAGCAGACTTTCTTGTATCTGTAGTATCCTTTATCTCAAGTTCACTTGGAAATATGAGATTCTAGCGCACTCACTGAAATATGGGTCATTGAAATACAGGACAGCATCAATATATCTAAAAGTGAAGTTAAAGAATTTTGCTAGATTTTTTCTGTGGTCTTTTACAAGGTTTTGTATGATTTCTGATGCATACGAGTATAAAAACAAGTCGGTCAGTAGGAGTGCTTAATTAGTACCCATTTAAGTATCGACTGCCGTGTGAAATATGAATCATCCAAACTCAGCAATTATATAATCTGCGATGAATTTGTTTTTGGAATCATTGTAGATCATCACAATGTAATATTTGTCATGACCTAAATCAAGAAATCTACGAACCCCATTTTCGTAGTAAAAGCTTAGTTGAATGAGCCGATGTATAGATCTTTCATTTAAGCATGAGGAATGTGAGTGTCAAGCGTAGAAAATAAACAAAATTGATATTACTGCAAAATTTTGTAGATTGTGATTGAAGATTTCGTAGTAGATATTTAAATGTTTAAGATTCACATCTAATATACACTGCTGGTAAAATATCCCTCATTACAATTTTTCTTTCATCTAAATCTAAATCCAAACTTCTTATAAAGAACTTATTATTTTTTTTCATAATCAGACTTCAAAATGACTGTAAAACTGTCTTCGCTAATGGTAGTGTACAAACCAATCATTGTAAATCCGATTTTCGTCTTTTCCTTTTGGCAAATGGTGTTGTGTGAACTCTTTATACTCATTGTTTCCCTCGTTATCATTTCCCCTTTTCACTCTGTTAACCTGATCATCATGAAATCCAAACAGAAAATCAATAGTTATGGCATGATTTTTATTAAACGAAAATTGTTTTGAATCTGCTTTATTCTGATAAATATATAAGTCGAATGAATTCAACTCACAGGAAAGACACAAACAAGATTACAGCTAATAATGACGCCTGGATATCTGATATCTTGATTGTGACATTTTGTGATGCATGTAAAACATGAGACAGTTATTCTGTCGACGCACCCGGACTCGCTCCTTTTTAGGTTTATGCGATTCATTTAGTTTCTGCTTCATACCTTGATCATATTGATGTGTCTCTGTCGAATCGATTTATGAGATTTGAACATCGGTAACTTCGATCTCCTTAAGCATTGTTAAGAATGTAGTCATGTCAGGATTAAGAATTTTGTCAGATGTTCGGAGGCCCTACGATACAGTGTTACATATTTTGGCCATTGTCAACGACTTTTCTTTTCATACAAGACTTCAATAGCCTATACAAGGTAATTTACAAAAAAATTAAGCAGATTCTAGACTTCTTTTCCCACGATTTGAGACCAGAATAATACCAATGCTTGATATAATATAAAAGTCCGAGTCAACTTTTTACAGCCATTTTTTAAATATCAAATATCTCGAAAAGGAGTTCCAAAACTTATCAATATTTTGCGCTTATTTTGTTTCGTAACAAATGCACATCTGATTTATAGTATCAATTTTGAGTTCCATATTTTTTTAATTTCACCTACATCCCTATTTTATTTGCTTTGTTATATATCTGTTTTTATTCATTTTTCCAGTAAGAAGAATGAAACGATAGATTATTTAGAATATTTACAAGGACTTGTAGAGAAAGCAAAGGAAGTTACACGTTTACTTTTGGAGAAACATGTGACCAAAGGAAAGAATATTTCTTCTTTACTTATGAAACATAGACATTCGATATTCCATATGTACGAACGAAAACCATGCTGCGAGTGCTCTGCAGTCATCCCAGGTGGATCTGAAATCCGTAGGTTACGACGAAATGAGTTTGAAAGAATGTTTGAGAAAATAGAAATTACATGTAAATATAGACAAAAGCAGGGTGCTTGCATTTGTGTTTGGAACGCAAGACAAGATGTTAGTGAAAGATATCTTCCGTTTCCAGTTATCATATACCTTCTGGGTTATAGTTCTGTAACTTACAACTATGAGAGACAGTTAAACAGAATGAAGTCGACACTCGTTCAGATGAATAAACTAGGACAAAGACTTGAAATGATTGATTTCTACAAAATATGGAAATCGTTAGGTGATGATATTTTATACATGGCTAATGTAATTAGTAAGCAGTATAAGGAAACAATTGATACTGATATCCAGTCGTTTAGGCCTAATTTATCTCCGTTTGAGTTATCTGTTCTCGACTTTATGAATGAAATGAACATATCGATTACAGATGGTTTGAGTAAATTCCAAACGGTGAGTAAATTCCAAACGGTGAATAAATTCCAAACGGTGAGTGAATTATCGTTTAAAAAAGAACAAATATCCTGAAATACCACATCACACTGAAGTAAATCTAATCATTGTCATTCCCAGCTGTTTTTCAAAATGTTTAAAGATATTATAAGAAAATATGCGATTAAATTTGAATTATTACGACCCACATATTACCTCGAAATTATTTTCTGATAACTAACGATATTACGGTTTTGACAGACAAGCTGGGGTCGTGGGTCCCGCGGCCCCAGCTTATCTGGCAAAACAGCCGTTGGACGTCAGAGCAATCTCGGACTAAAACTATATAAAGATTATCTTCATGGTCAACATAATTTTACGTATGTATACTGCAGTCTGGTAGATGTTCTTGTTTTCATGTATTTTTGGGGATCAAATAGGTTACTTACTCGAGAAATAGTTGTGGTCATTGCAGTAAGTCAATGTTTTGGTCCATCGGGGATGTTGACTCTCCGACACCTTTAGATATCTCTTAGATTTAAAGCCATGCTTATGCATTCTTGACATTATAACTGCATTTACCAGATGGTTACGTTTCGCGTTTGCAGACGACTGTTATTGTTTACAAATGGCGCCGAAAATCAAACTAGATGTCGTGCGATCGCAAAATTGTTTCGATAAATCAACACTAATACACCAACATTTAAAAAAAATCAATATATACAATTTTGGAATAAATGTTATAATCATTGTTTATTTATACGATAATGAGTTTCGTATTTTACCGACAGTTCGAGTTGTGCAGTTAATTCAAATTTGTCAGGTTCATATCTCCTTAATGAGCAAGTAAAAATCTGTTTTTTCAAAATTTTCCAAAGTCGTATAATGGAAATTGTTGGCCATATAAGTTGAAATAAAGTAAAATATCAAAAATACTCCGAGGAAAATTCAAAACGTAAGGTCCATAATCAAATGGCAAAATCAAAAGCTCAAACACATCAAACAAATGGACAACAACTGTCATATTTCTGACTTGGTACAGGCATTTTCTTATCTAGAAAATGGTGCATAAAACCTAGTTTTATAGGTAGCTAAACCTCTCAATTGTATGACAGTCGCATAAAATTCCATTATATTGACAACAATGTGTGAACAACAACAAAACAATGCAATAGGTAAACATGTCAAAAATATAGGGGTACAGCAATCAATATTGTTTTATAAGCTTAATCACTCTACAAACGAACAAATATAAAAACAAAGAAAGCAAAAAAGGCAATAGACAAAGCACACCTGCAAAAACGAAAGACAACAACACAAAAATGTACCATAGCACAATAACACAATGACGGGATGTATAAGTACCGAGCCACGTCAAATGGACAGCACCAACAATAGACTAAACAGTAAAAGTAATAATTTACACAGACAAATAAAATAACACTATAACATGTAATTAAGATGACAAACAACGTCAGTACCTAGAATCTATACTTCAAGACCTTTATTTGTGATGTTGATACGGAATATTTATCAACAAGGTCTTGGTATCTTCCGATGAACTTTTTTTTAGAAAAAGGACGAGACGTTCTTTGACATAACCCTGGTTCATTAACTTTCTGCTCAGACACTGATAGATTCTGAATAGATACATTTTGGCATTAGATTAAAACATGCCAAAACCCCTGCATTTCTTTATTTATTTGGTTCATTTTTCATTTGTTGGTTTATTATCCTCTTATTTAAAGCCGTAGAAAATGAGTACCGAGTACTTTGAACATGCTTATATCATTGTTTCTCACTGATATTGCCGACTTTAAGTTTAAACTGTGCTAGTTCCCCATTCGTATATAATCGAGCTTTGACATTATATTGATAGTCATCAATCCTTCACTTCAGAATAGGTTTACCAAATGACCAAACTACTGCGAGCTGCAATTCATAAAAAAGAACCACAACTTTAAAATACTAATTGATTGAAATGATGATTATGACAGACCATTAGCTAAACGCAACAAAAAACAGATTTGGTATCTGTTTCAGAATTGGTAAAAGCTATGAGTTTGTGGATAACAGTTACAATTAAAAACACTTATTGCGTCTACGAACAAATATATCATGAATACATGCGCAATTTTATCGTTTCAGGAAATTCAGATATTAAGAAAAGATATGGAAGCACACATATTTGAAAGACAACTTCCAGTGCGAGAGGTCCCCACGGTAGACCACGATGTTATAATTTTAGCACCACCTAGAGAAATTAATAAGATTCAGCTGCGCCGTTAAGATAATTGCAAATTAAGCCTTTCTCTTCTCCTTACCCTCCCTAAATCCAAATTTAAATATGAAAAAAGTATTGTTCCATGATGGACTAAAATTAAAGATGAGTTTATGTCCCAGGTGAGTAGGATGTTTGAGTGCTAGCAACATTTTTAACCCAGCCACAATCTGTATGTGCTTTTCCCAAGTCAGGAACCTGTTATTCAGTGTTTCAGCTTGTTGCTGTATATCATACTTGTTTTTCGTTTAATACGTCTTTCTGGCGGGCAGTTGTTTTGTTATGATTATTTGACTCCTCTACTTATCGTTGATATATTCTGTAATTTTTAATCCTTATTCAATGATAAGAATTTCAAACACATATAATTTTTTTCTGTATACACTTAAAGTTATCATGATTTAAACAAACGGGAAGAAAACTCAATGAACCACAACTTCACGTATAGGAAAATGGCCATTGTTATATTATAGTTCGTTTCTGTATGTGTTACATTTTAATGTTGTGTTTTTGTTGTGTCGTTGTTCTCCTCTTATATTTCATGCGTTTCCCTCAGTTTTAGTTTGTAACCCGGATTTGTTTTTATCTCTATCGATTTATGAGTTTCGAACAGCGGTATACTACTGTTGCCTTTATATATCCACGCACACACACCTCAGCATTCGTAACATGCCTCTGACGCCAGATTATTAAACAAATTGAATCTTGGATATCCACAAATATTACCTTGTAATGCCAGAAAATGACAAGCCTAACAACATTAAGGACAAACGTGATAGTAGTTTTTTTAAGAAGGACACAGAAACATTTACCGTTTGGAAACAAACAGAAAGTCAAAAGTTTGATATATCAACGTTAAGGAAAACACAATCAAAACTTCAAATTTTAAAAATTCTAAATAGTCGAAGAAGTCGAGAATCACCAAGGACAATTACAGAAACACTTTGAAAATCACGTTAACTTTGCCAACGGACTTAGATAAAAGTACTGAAGACAGCATATACCATAGGTCAAAATGAAAATATAATGGGACAAGGGAAAATATATAATACTTCCCTATTGGTTAAAAACCTTCTCAAATATGAATAAAACATATGTATAAAAGGATTACACAAATTAATTAAAATAATGATATCTGATTCCAGATTAACTTTAACATAAACAAATTGAGAGTCAAACTATTCAATAATCATAATAAAAAACAACAAATAAAAACATATGAAAATATAAAAATAAGGAGATGAGGAATGATTGCCAATGAGACAACTATCAATTAAAGTTAAAAAAAAAAGTGATGTAAGTAATTATAGGCAACCGTACGGCCTTCAACAATGAGAAAAATTCATACTGTATAGTCGGCTATAAATGGCTCTGAAATGAAAATTTCGATCGAGAAAATAACGGTCTAATTTATATTAAAACAATTAACAGAAATCATATATGACAGACATGAACAGGCTCCTGACTTGGGACAGGCACACAAAGAAAGAATGAACTCGGACAGTGGTGTAACAGCAAAACATAAGTACAAACTATAAAAATCAGTTGAAAAAGGCATAACTCATCAGATCGATACAAAGCAGAAAAAAACATCACACATCAAAACTGACCGGACGTGGCAGGGTATTTATCCATCCGTCATCACAAAGGACACTTAGTACAGATCTTAGAGGTTGCATTTCTGTAAATATAGACAATGCAATTTCCCATAGGAACTCCTTTTACAGCTAAAACTGTACCACTTTTACTATGAAGTTTCGAAAAAAAATTATATCCTAGAATGGAAAGCTCATATGAACTACTATTTTTTTCAAAAGGTCAAAATATAGGGCTTTGCGGCATATTTCCATCATTTATATGCCCGAACTTCTAAGAGTTTAAACTTGTACTTAAACTCAGTACTACCCCTACCTTCACTTTTGGTCTCCCTCAGAATTCAAGGCTGCCGCTGTATTTTTTTAATTATACTGGTAACATTCCAAAATTATGTCTGGGAACCAGTACGTAAACAAAACAATTTATCTATGAATATTATATATCTCCTTCAAAAGAGGCGTGGTTTGTGAAACAGCTGTATTTACAAAGTGCAACCTAGAGTACTCTCAGTTACTGACAGCTGGTTCAAAGCCAATAACAACTAATAAAAACAATCATGTATCTAAGACTAAAATATCAATAAGTACACATCCAATATCAAATGGATTTCGTGGAAAGACGTTATTAACAGTTAGAGAAAAAAAAACATGACCGTGTGCAATGCCAAATAAAGGTATCGACATATTGTAGTACCGTTAAATTGCATGTGTGTAAAACAAAACTATTTAGTATGATTTTAATTTGTTGATAACAAAATAAATATTTATGCCAATAAAAAAAATATTCAAAGAGCTAATCACAGTGTTAATTTGGTAACCTTTAAGAATAAGTTTATTAAAAGGATTGATAAGTTTACCCGAATCGTATATAAATTTCTGGGCTCGGTAAACAATTTCACCGTAAAATTTAGGATGTGCTATTCCGTCTGAAATAAGAATTGTTACAGTTACAGCCAAACATACAAACCAAAATTTTTGTATCTATGGAAGAATTTATTAAAGGTTCTAAGTAATTTGTGATAACGAAATCCCTGACTTCATAATTTACCTTAATACCTAGATTACGTTCATTGAAATCCAAAACATCACAACACACGCGGACATAACGAACGAGTTTTGATAAATACACATCATTGTGTTATTGTGCTATCGTAATTTGTGATGGAAGAAGACATTCAAGTCTTCTGAAATCCTATACTTCAAGTTGTTTCAAATCAGAAATCATTGAACCGTTACCAGGAGTGTTGCTTTTCCGTGCTTTACAATTTCATAACTTCCATGTCTCATTTCGACATCGATTTGTACTCATGATCGATTACACGTTTATAAAATAGCGTCTGTATCATTTTATAAAAACAAATGTACAGTTTGGCTTTATAAATCAATCGCCAACGTTTGTGTTCTAATTTCTCATGTTATAATATTTTAATATCTTTCTTATTTTAATGGTTAATATATATATTCCATCTTACTAACCTTCAATCTAACGTAATTCATTTACTCGGTAACAGGAGGTTTTTAAAGTAGATTTGTTGAAACTAATGCGTTAATTTAGTTACATGGAGGTACTGAATCGGCCGAATTGTGACGATTGGAATTCAACTCAACAATGCTTGACAAAAATACACGGATATAATTTTTATCTTTCTTTTGATCTTTACCGCTATCAAGTCAACATCCAGTTTTTGAAAACATGCGTTTAAAAAGAAAGTCAGCAGAATATTTCAGTATGTTATTGTGATAATAAAGAGTCAAGCAAGTGTATATGTAAATTTTCTGCTGAGTCCGGTTCAAGTTGTAATTTATGACATCATCTTGTATTTTTATTTTCCTGTACATTATGCTGTCATCCGCAAAGAGTCTGAGCTTGTTGTGTTGTAAATATTTCGGAAGATCATTTATAAAAATAAGGAATAATATGAGACCTCATACTGTTCCTTTGGGTAAACCAGATATCACGCGTACTGAGGTGGAAGAAATGCCATTGATGACGAATTGTTGTGTTCTGTTATTTTTTATACAAATGAAGTTGGAATACCAAAAGTGAAATATCTTCCTTTGACAAAACTTTAAAGTGAATCCTTATGATTTCCTGGTGTAATTGCTTCCATAGGTTGACCATGCTGAGACAAATGGATGGAATCAGAAAAATTTTATTCGAATCAACAGTATTTGTAGATTTCGATGTGTAGTTTAGTCTGGTTAGGTAAAGACATGATCATTAATTAAAATCTAATAATTTTGGGGAAAACAATACGTCGAAACGTCAAAAGCATTAATGGCACAAAGCAGGCTGGGTTGCTGTGGTCTGCTTTCATGGTAGTTCAAGTTATCCTTTTACAATGTTTTATGTATCTTCTTCCATCTAAGACATGCAAGAGCTACCAGCTCTTTGATTTGTGTTTTTATCTTTCATTTTTACTTATCTGCTTTGTCACTATGTCATTTTCTTTTTCTTTGTTGACATATTTGTTTGTTTTATAGTGATTAAGCTTATAACACTATATTGACTTCTGTACTCCTATTTTTGACATTTTTACCTATTGTGTCTGTTTGTTTTGTTCACACATTGTTGTCAATATAATAGAATTCTATGCATTTGGCATACAAGTGAGAAGTTTTGCTAGCTATAAAACCATTTTCTACGCAGAAATTTCTGTACCAAGTCAGGAATATGACATTTGTATTCCATTCGTTTGATGTTTGTTGATTTTGCCATTTGATAAAGGACTTTCCGTTTTGAATTTTCTTAGGAGTTCAATATTTTGTTTTTTTTTTCACTATGGAGAACGAAAAATCGTCCCTTTTGTCGGAAATTTTGGCTTTGAGTTTCCAGTGTAAAACTTAAATATCTCAATCAAGAACAGTTATAACCGTTTATATATTCTTTATCTAAAGTTAGTTCCTTTGGTTAAACATCGGCAGTATTTTTAGAAAATTCTTGATTATTTAACGAAAAATATCATTAAGACAAAGTGTTGTTTAGAAGACGATACTCTCAATTTATTCAATTGATTCAATGGCTAAGAAAACAAAAAGACAAACAGAAAAAATAACAGTTCACAAAACACAACATAGAAAACTAAGGACTGAGCAACAAGAAACTGTTGGTGATCTTAGGTGCTCCGGAAGGGTTAGCAGATCCTGCTCCACAATTGGCACCTATCGTATTGTTCATGTAATTTCAAATCCGGTTAATAAGTCTAATTCGGTAGGTATCATTCGGGAAAAGGGGACGGGATTGTAGTTACGACATTAGGAACTTATCCACTATCATATTTGAAACGAATATTTCATAACGGTCAACCAACTCGTGATGGCGTCCATAAAATTTACGAAGGGAGGATTTCAACTTCACCACTGAGAACTCTTAATTTAAAACGCTTTCTTGTGATCAGCAAACCCTCTTTCAAGGAAATCATGATAGAAAATACAATCCCTGGAAAAGCGTATCAAGTGGGAAATATATATTCCGTATACATAGGCGCTGCTGGAATGTCGCTAAATAGAAATGGAAAGTTCACAATTGGGAAGCTGAAATCATCTATTTTGTTGTAAATTTAGGTTTTTAACCGAATGTCATTGCCAATTTCTAGATGTAAGTCAAGATATGAGGCAGACTTAACTGTATATGTTGTATCCTTTATCTCAAATTATATGGGATAGATGCGTTCAACATGGTCACTAGATGTTGAATTTTCTTTCTTCCTAAGAAGTTCCTGTATGAAGTCAGCCTCATATGAATAAAACAATAAGTCGGAAAGAAGATGGAGACAGTTTGTTCCCATGGGAATGCTGATTGTTTGTTGACAAACGCGTCCTCAAAACGTTACAAATATGTTTTCAATCAAGAAATCAAGCATCTTTATAATGTCAGTTTCAGACCAATTTATTTTTGAATCAGATTGATTTTTTGCGAAGTAAGATTTATCCCTCCCTAAGACAAGATACTTGTATCTAAGATGACCATTTTTTTATGAAATAAAGCGGTACCAACACTTTCAATTTGTCTTTTATTTTGGAATGGGGAATACTTGTGTAAAGTGTAAAAAGGTCAAACGTTTTAATACTATTGCAAGATGTAAGAATCTTAGATTGTATGTATTCTGAAAGATCTTTGGAATTTTTTAGTATCCACATCTGATTCACGCCACCTCTAGAATATGTAGTTTCACAATAACTTTGACGCCCGGCTTTGATTGCTGATAAAATTAATGTTAAAAATTTAGAAAGAGGTTTCGTGGAGCATTCGGAAGACCTAGCAATAAACCGTTGTTTGTAAGGACACTTATGTAGTTTAGGTATCCAAAACAGTGATGGAAGATCCAGTTCTTCATCTTTGGTTGAGATTTCTTAGAACATAGAACAGAACTTTTTTTATCCAGGATTTCTTCTTTAGTAAGTGTGGTGGGGTATATGTTGAGTTTCCAAGTGAATCGTCAATACCTAACTCATTTATCGAGCAGTTTATGTAATGTGATTTATACACCAAAACGATGTTGTTTGGTCTTTATCTCCGGGGACAACAACATATGTAAAATGCTAAACTTACATGCATATTTGCTAGATATACTTACTGGAAGTGTAATCCGATAAGTAAAGCTGTACATTTCCTCCTCGATCATTTTATCGACAGATTGTAGGCATTCATATTGTCATAAATTGTGTCCCAATCAATAGCAGACTTGATCTTGTATTGCCAGGAATCAAACTCAGTGAAGACCTCTCTAAATTCCATTAAAGGACAATTCAACAACACCTTCCGTTACCTTGATGATATTTTTTCATTTTATTATTACCAGGTCGCTAAATATACTGCCAAAAATTCACCCAAAGGAATTGACTTTTAATAAATTAAATATAAACAGCAATAATTGACCTTTTTTAGATTAAGATATTTTAGTTTCACATGGAAAACTTTTTTCAAAAATTTACGACATAAAGGACGATTTTACATGTCCCATGTTTTTTTTTTCCCTCCATTTTGTTATGTCCCTTTTTCTATGCCTATATATCCCATGGTTAGCGTTCGCGTTCGCGTTTCAGTTAACATAATCTTTGTATCACTGGTAAGTTATTATGTCAGGATTTTGTTACCTCCAATACTTAAATTCGTACATCCTATCTTGAGGGTTATTAACTTTGCTAGACTTGTGAAAGAAAATAACGTCTTGCTAGTTGAGATCCATTATGATTCTAAGATGCGTAGATACGTAACAATAGCGTTACGTTACATTACAATAGTGTGCGCGAAAGTACGGGAAACAATTACATAACATAAAGTTCTAAAGTCTCTTGACCAATATTCACGACACATCCATTTGGTTTGCTTATAAAAAAGGGAACATCACAATATAATTCATATATTCATGTTGATCTCGTAAATTAAGTTATTACGATCTGTGTAAACGTATCGATACTTCTTATAAACGTTTTCGAAACGGTTATCAATTTAACATGTTTAACACTGTGATAAGATCTCTGAATATTGTTGTAAACGAAAAATATTGATTTTGTTATCAATAAATTAAAACATAACTAAATAGTATTGATTTACAGACATTAGCATATACGTTCATACAATCTGTCAATGCTATATACTGTAAACCAACTCATTTTCGCGGATACTATATTTAGCGATTAGCCCATTGTAGCCTTTGATTTATTTTCGCGTATTTCAAAATTACTTGATGTAGTAAAACTAAGGAATAATCCAAATTCTTCATTTTTGCGACGATTTTTTATTGGCGTAATTATTGACATTGAACAAGATGGTGTTCCCCCTGAATGTTTATATCCTCTTTATACTAAATCCACTTGTGATGTACTGATTGAAATTTTAATCTTGGATTCATAATTTTTTTAGTCGTTAGTGGCTTTGAATTAGGTTTCAGAACTCTCAGATTTATGTAGGTACTCTTTGTCTTCAATATATTTGTTTGGTGTTTTGTGTTATTCTATCGGTCTGAGCAGTCAAGATTTCTTCGACTGATTGTGTTCCCGATAGTGTTGGGCACCCGCAAAAATGTCTTAACCCGCCACAATTCTGACTATGCTTCTCGCAAGTCGATAATTCAGTTAATGTCGTATATCATATTTGTTTTGCGTTTATTGTTTTGTACATTAATCAGATAGTTAATTTCTTTTGAAGTTATTTAATTATTCAATTTTATAGCTTGCAATGTTACATATCTTAGAAAGGCTTTTCCTCATATTTCAGACAACAATCATACCCCTTGAGAAATGCTGTTCAAGGAAACGTCATACTTCCTAAATCGAAAATAGAATTGTTCAAGAAACATTTCATGTGTTCTGAACCATCCTTTTGGAACAATTTGTCAACATTATTAAGATATATTTCAACATGTAATTCTTTCAAATACTAAATCAAGTTATACTTGACTTTTATACTAATGTACGTGTTTTTTTTTCAACATTTTATTTTAGTTTGTGTTTTTCCAGGATAGAGTTGCACGATAAATTAGTTATATAACTAACTGTGAAACCCATTTCAAATACAGTATTGATGTTGTTGTTGTTATATGTTTTGCTCAGTGTTGAAGGCCTTACAGTAACCTATACGCTGCTTACGTCTACGTCATTTGGTCTTTGGTGGTGATTTGTCTCTTGGCAATCATTCCGCAACTTCTTATCTTAATATAATATATTGAAAATGTTGGTATAATATCAAAATTGTAAATTTGATCAAACGTGATATAAGTGATATCTACATTACTCGACTATCTTTGTCACTCACTTTGATAAGAACATTCGTAACTTTAATCCACGATTAAACATGTAAACATTTTATTTTTTCAAATCATGGTGAAAACAAAACTTATGGAATTGTTTGATCCACAAAGGAACTAGATCGGGTGCAGTAATAAGGTAAGCGTCTCTACCTAGTCCCCGTCATGTGAATTCACACTTATCTCATGTGTATTAAGTATACAATACAAATCAAACTTAAACATACATGTATAATCTTATTTATTTTGCAGAAAGCAAGCTTAGTACAGGATTTAAGAATTGATTTAGGACATCAAATACTAGATTTGAGACAATATATCGGTAAGGAAGTACAAGACTTAAAACACGATATCGGCAATCTAAGGACGATTCAAGATTCAAACGAACTCGCTGACACGGTAGGTTTAAAATAAATGTCCAGGTTCTTCTTTCATTGTAATATCACTTTCAAGTCTCATAACGCATGTAACGGGATTATCAATTGTTATGAGTAATAGTTAAGTCTAGCTTAAATATTGAAATATCGCCAGTATCCTTAAGTGATCCCTCGTTGTGTACTACATTTCTACAAGAATGGTATCGTAGTTACGATTTTCTATACTTTCTTCACAAATATTTTGATATTTGGCTTTATTATAAAAATGTGGCATACACTTGTTATTAAAGACACTTTGTACTTCTTGAGGTACGTCAAAACAAAACACTTTGTAATCTTATATAATGGATATTTGTTGATTTTGATATCTTAATGCGGCCATCTTGAAAAAAGCCGCCATTTTGAAATTTCAACTGGGGTCCATAGGTTATATTTTTCGAAGCATCAAGCACGTATAAACATTCAAAATTTAAACTTGTATATTATTATTCAGTGATATTTGTCGATTTTGATATTTTGAGACGGCTATCATGGAAAAAGCCCCCACATTAAAATTTCAAAAGTGGGTCAATAGCTTATATTTTTTGAAACACACCACACTACTATCATGCCAAATTTGGCATTTATTTTGACATTATAAAGGTGATATATGTTGATTTTTATATTTTATGGCGGCCATCTTAAAAAAAGCCGCCACATTAAAATGTCAAGGTGGGTTCATTGCTAATATTGCTTGAAACACCTAAAACTACAACCATGCCAACTATAGTGCTTTTATCATCAAACCCACAATTGTTTTTCCGATCTTCCGGACTATAATAGATATTAGATATTAGAAGATGTGATATGAGTGCAAATGAGACAACTCTCCATCCAATCATATAAGTTCATTAAAGAAGACAGTTGTCATACAATACATTTTTTATTTGTGTTTTTTGTACATTTACTTGTTTTGAATGGTCAGTTAGGTTTGGAGATGGTTCTTTCGTTCGTAGGAATATGTTTGTGTCGGTTTTTTTAAACATAAAATTATTTGGGTTTCTTTTTTGTTTTTGTTTTTGTTTTTGTTTTTTTTTTTTTTGGGGGGGGGGGGGGGGGGGGGAGGGGTTATAGTTGTAGTATAAGAATCAAATAGTTTGGTTTCGTTTCAGACACGTAATATGGCACCATCGTAATAAATTTGAGAGGCATGAGCAAAAATAGCCTCATCGAGACTATAGAAGCGCCGAAAAATCACTTGCATAATGTTGTCGAATTTTCAAGAATTCATGACAGCCAAACTTCAAAACAAAATTTGTATATATGAAACCAATCTCCTGATTGAAATACTGATACTGTATCCACGCTTTGCTAACTTGTAATAATATGAAAGAATGTAGTAAAAAGATTTTATGAGTTATCTGCCAAGTATACTTAGATTACGTTCATTGAAAACTGAAGACTTACTACAGACACCGTGATAATATATGTCACATTTGGTTATTATATCGACGATGATGACTATGACGACGTATAGTTAGGTTTTATTTGTTTGTAAGTTCCTCATGAATTATTGGTTTAAATTGATTGGAAAGTTAGCTTCAGTCCGTTACGATATTTAATATTGTTTTTCGATTGCCAACAATATATATGTAATATGTTTAGAAATTGTGGGCAAACCGTTTTTTTTTTATCTAGATGTAGGTAATAAAAAAAGAGAAGAAAAAAAAAAAAACAAGAGTGAAATATATAGCTTGCTTTACTGATCATGACTAAATTTAAGTTTAAAGTCTTGGATTATACAACAAGTATTACATAAAAATTACCATTATCATTGATCCACGTAAATGAGGTCAAGGTCAAATAAACTCTGCCACAAAGACATGTATCCCTTTCAATCATTCTAATGGACATGTAGACCATGCAAGGATACCATACTAGTAATCAAATATATCTATCCTATAACTTATAGTAAGTGAGACATGTATATGACAAAAAAATATACAATTTTGTAGTAGTCGCTGAATATTGAAAATGAGGAAAAGGACAATAGTCAAATGACGAACAGAAACTTCGTTACACAAAGAATTTATATACAAGATATGAAGCATCCAAGTCTTTTACTGCTTGAAATGTAAAGTTATACACATAGTTCACGCCTTTTCCGACGCCACCATCGGACTATTATTTCTATGTCTCGCATTCTGCGACTTCCGTCGTATGCAAGACAAAACAAACCTGCCATGTTGTCTCTGACCTAGACCTGGGTTGTAGGCGTTCAAACTAACAGTAGATAATGAAACGTCATAGCTACTATTAGTTCCAACCATGTTTTAGATCTATGTTGTCTGCAAATGTTTGTAAAATACTTCGATGCTGTATAGAACCCTCTTTGTGAAGATATTCTTAATTTCATGTTATTTTTATAGCCAATTTCTACTCAATAAGCAGTATAAATGTTTAGGATGGGGTAATTAACATGTTACTAATTGACCTTTTTTCACAACTTTGACACACATCCCCTTTTTCTTCATTTGCTGTATTTTTCATTTATATAACACAAAGATATACTCAGAACTGGTTATTCGATCCATTCTGCGTTTATATTTCACAAGTTTTGGAACAAAGTACAAGTGTATGTGCTCAAATTTTACCCAGAAAACACCTTCTACCAAAAGACGAGTAAACTCATATTTTCTTGTAGGGTTAAGTTAAGTCTGCCTCATATCTTGACTTACATCTAGAAATTGACATTGAGGGTCGGTCGAAAACAAAACTTTAAGACAAAATAGATGATTTCAGCTTCCCAATTGTGAACTTTCCATTTCTATGTAGCTACATTCCAGCAGCGCCTGCATACGGAGAATATATATCCCAATTGATACCACATTCCCGGGCTTGTATTTCCTATCATGATTTCCTTGTTAAATGGTTGTTTAACAAGAGTTCCAAATGGTGGAGTTGAAATCATTCCTTCGTAGGTTTTATTGACGCCATCACGTTGGTTGACCGTTATGGAATATCCGTTTCACAGATGATAGCATATATGTTCCTAATGTCGTAACTACAATCCACTCTCCTATTCACGAATGTGCCCTACCGAATTAGACTTGTTACCGGGTTTGTACTAAAATGAACAACACGACAGGTGCCGTATTTGGAGCAGGATCTGCTTACCCTTGCTTAGTCTTTAGTTTTCTATGTTGCGTTTTGTGTAGTATTGTTTGTCTTTTTCTTTTTAAGCCATTGTGTTGTCATTTTATTTTCGATTTATGAGTTTGAATGTCTCTATACAAATGTAGCACCTCTTTTATAAATATAAATATTTTTTAAAAATAAAACATCTTTAGCGTTCACTTGTATTGAATCGTATATAAAATTTGAAATTTAGAAATCGCAATGATTCAAGGTCACTTATTGAACAGCTGAATAAAAATCTCAAACCATATTTGGTAACATAAATATCATATAAGTACTAAATATTGAAACTACATTAATTTTGTATAGTTATAATTCTTTAAATTACTTGAATTAATTTCGCTCTTAAAGAATCAACAAGTATCGTTACCAAATTCATAGTTTTGATAATTCACATTTTCCAATGGTTTATGATAAATATGAAGATGGCATAAAGTTAGAGAAAGAACATTTACCAGTTTGCTATGGGATACTGAAAATAAGCGTTATACACTTCGTGTGTCCGAAGCGATTTACCAGGAATGTTCACACTCCAAAATGTTTAAACAATGGTTGTGTAATTATATATGAATACCTGAGAATCAGGGACATGACATAAGAATAACATATTTCAAGGTCATATTTTAAAGGATTCCTTACTTATTAACGAAGAATTTAACAAAAGTTATCAGACTGCGAGCTCTAATTATTGCGATACTCACTCAGTAGCATTAATAAAAAACCTCGCAATAATTTCTGAATTTACAGTATCCTTTTTTTTTGCTCTCCAAAATTGTTTAACGGTTATTAATCTTGTCACAAAGTTTCAGGTTGAACACAACTGTTATATATGTACTATATATGATTTGAAATATTATACCAACTTAGATCAGTCAGTGCTGTTCATTGGGAATGTATTTCCACGCAGTCTTTGTTAACTGTCATCACCTTTGAAATTTTAGAAATGTACCATTTCATATCGCACATAACTAACTTTATTAGATGCATATCTTTGTAGTCTCAGTTGTAAATACCTATATAACCTACGTCATTTTTGAAATTATAGAATTGTATCAGCGTTTTTGTGTTCGGTTAAAAATGACTAAATAATAGCCAACGATAAATCTTACGGGGCGATGGATCATATAAATATGATACAGTACACTACAAAATATAATATATAACCAGTCTAAAAGGGTACAACATCACCAAAAAATGACAATAAAAGAACAAATGTAACTATAAATATTTCGGATAACAGATATCCTTCATCAGCATGAGCACGATGTAAAATGAATCAGATCAATCTATTCTGATTATTAAACTATAGCAATCTTGAATTATATACAATAAAAAGAGTGAAACAGTTTCATCCGAACATCATATGTAGAGACGCTAATAAACTTTTAAAATTTCCAAAAAACGACTCAAAGACATGCCTAAAATGAAAATAGTAATTAGAGATATGAACTGGCAAAACTCTAAAATTCCAAAATGACGTCAGTTAAGATGTTACAACAACTGCGTGTAAATACATTCCCAAATAAAACAGCACTGATCGATATAAGCTGGTAAAATATGTCAAACAGAGGCTTTTATCACCCAAAATAAATAGCAGTTTTATAATGAAAAAAAATAGTAAATTTGGGATAAGGTTAAAAAAATTGGACGTGGATGCGTACTTGTACATCCCTACCAAATGAAAAGAACCCTGGTATTTAAACTAGTAAAATTCAAAAAATTCCAAAAGAATCCTTAAAACTGTAATGGTCAAGTAAGGAAGCCGGAGTAACTGGAAACAAATGATGTCAGGAAAATGAGTGATGGTTGGGAAAATGAGTGACTCATTCTATGTTTTTTTCATTTATGCCCTCTGGGGAAACTGTCCTTAGCTTTCTTATCCAAAACCTTTCCCGAGCAAGTCTTTCGGCCCTTGACCAACCCTAGTTCTGGTCTATGATTATGAGTGATTGTGAGGTTTTTGAGATCAGCTTGGGCGTGCCCAGGTGATCTCAAATGACGACTTAAGGGGAGGTCGGGCTTGCAGGTGTAGTCACTTCGATGACCATTCATGCGTTTGTTGAATGACTGTTCTGTCTCGCCAATATACTGCATGCCACATTGACACTGAAGAAGGTATACAACATTCTGTGTTTTGCAAGTTACATTACAAAATATAGTGTACACATACCCAGTGGAGTGGCAAGTAAATGTTTGAGTATTCAGCATTTGTTGGCAAGTCAGTCATCGTCTGTTACCACACGACTTGCACCAAACAACATTTTCCAAAAGACCAAAAAGTGAAAAGTATATTTTAACAAAACGCATTTGACTAATATATATATATATTTAACATTGTTTGCGTAAACATTGTTATATGCAATAAGGGTTAAACAAAACTGTTATAGTATCGTTCAATTGATTATGTAATCTTTAAGTCCATTGTATTCGATGAAAATAGTACAATTATATCATAAATCTAAAATAAATTTGTATTTTGATCATTCCAATTTGTAGCAAAAGTCTTTGACAGAAGTACTGATGGAAAAATTTGAAAAAGTGCAGTATGAAAAAATGAAATATAAGTCGTCACTAATACCACATGTATCAAGTGAGTAATTTACATAATGGACAAGGAATAAGATTACAGGAATGGGTCGTTACAAGAAAGCCTAATGAAACATGCATTTGGTGTTATACCAAGGGTTAATTTTTTTTTTATTTTTTCAGATTTTGTAAAGATGAACAAATGATAAGATGGAAAAAAAATATGACATGATGAAATATCAGAACACTATGTTAATGTTAGGTTTATGACCCATTCGTTAGGCCTGTGAATTACGAAATTTTCAAAGTGCAATTACTTCAAAACAGCAAGAAATATTGAAAAGAAACGATCTATTTTGTTCATTTTCCAAAGGGAAACGTCTTTCACAGCAATTTTTGTTGATGTTTTATTGCATTAAAAAGAAAATGTAAATTTTATTGTAACTCATACCAATATTTTTAAAAATAATCCACATACTTTATTATATAGATTTTCTTTATATAAAATTCGAAATATAGATTACTAACGCGTGTGGCTATAAACTGCTAGCGTCGAATGTCCTTTAGAACCATTACAATCCTTAATGCTACATGCTGAGTCATTTAAGTCGACCACATCCAAGAAGATGTACTTGCATAGCACATGTTTGAACTCGTTTTAACTAATATCTTTATTGAAAAAAACTGGCTTTAGAGAAATCTTCGCTAACACTGCACGCAGTAATCCCCAATCTAAGTACATAATTGTCTAATATAGTTGGACAAAGGGAAAGCCAGTAGATTTTCTATTAAATTTCCATATGTTTAGAATTGAAACATCACTAAAGTACATAATCATTAAGATTGAGGAGTATGCGTTAATCAATAATCAGATCAATTCCCTATTATCTGTTATAATTGTTGCCATCTGACACTTTATAGCCAAGTTTCTGGACGTCCAAAACCAACATTTCGGTTTATGAAAACCTGTTTTATCGATAAACACTACAATATCTTTACTTAATTTGGATTTGTTCTGCCCTAATAAACAATGATAATATTTGTAAATTTAATATTAGAAAAGCTATATATAAGTAGTTCTTGTTTAAAAGGGAAAAATGTTTTCATTTTTTGTTTCATAGTCATCGAATCAAATTTTGTAAATGAAGTTCGTTTTCGTTCACGCAATTTCAACATTTGACCATTATGAGTTGAAATACGATAATTAATGAAACAATGACTTTCAATATATTTTTTATATATAATAAGAAGTAAAATTATGTTAATTAAATATTAAAAAAAATCAAATTATACGATGAATACATATATATTAATTAGTTTACATATGTATCACTTTAACAATGAAGGATATTAATTAGCTGATTGTCTAAAGTATCCACAGCGGTAATCAGATCATTAGTATTTCCCCGTGATTTGTGTTCATTTAAAATGATTTTCGTGGCAAGGTGCTAGATAAAGTGAAGTTTGACGTTATATATCGGAATTGAACTCACAATATGTTGACATTTTCCATACTAAGACGAATTGCTTTCAAGAAAATTGTAAAGGGTGAATATTTTCAAATTTTGTTGATCATATAGATGTTAGCTAGGACAAGCTGATCAATCAATAAAAGTACAATTCAAAATATCTTAATAGCTGAAAAAATATGTAAGATACGCGTTTAGTTGTGTATATGTCTGGTTATGAAACAAAGGTATAACTTAAAACAGCAATAACTTGTATTTCTAGCAAAAGAAAGGCAATTGTTAACACTAGCCAGCAAACACTCGCCAAGTGAAAGGACGACTGAAATGGAAAGTATGTATATTTACATTATGAAATAAAAGCTTGTGAAATGGCAATGTCCGTATTAAATCATCAAAATGCAATACTAAAACACTACCTTATTAAAAAAAGCCAGGAAATTACCAGTAAACGTTTTGAATATAGAAAATTATGCAGTATACAATATGAATCACTGACTAATTGATGTTTACAATATGGGTATTTAAAGTTACAGATATAATTTCATTCTCTCTCTCCAAATATTACATGTAAAGGAGACCAAAATTGTTCACAAACTTGGACTTTATTATTTTTCTTTGCAATATGATATTCAATAAATTTGTATTTTGTAATTCTATTATTTATTTAAACCATATTTGGTTTTGTTTCATTAGATTTAAATTTATATATATAGTTCTTTGTAATTATGACTAACAGATTCAATGATTAACTTTCATGTTTGCAACCAAGAAAACATTCTCTTTGCTGAGAACAAAATTTCCCAAAAAGTTTCACAATATTTGAAAAAGGCTGCCACAATTAAAAATTATTAAAATAACCTTTCCATTTCAAACATTTGATTGTTGGTAGTTTAATAAGTTCTTATATAGACATTTGGCTTTTACGTTACGCATAATTATCTTTTAAAAAAAGTGTTACACTTATCCGAATCATTATTAAAACAGTTCTCTTTAAGGCATTTTTTTCATAGTGTTGAAATCAGAACTTTACATTTGAAACACATAGTTCATTTGTACTCTGTCTTGATATTGCTCACATCTATAAATAGTCATATTTTCATGATTAATAAGGTCACTTACATCTTATAGAAATCTCAAACTGCTTTTCTTTTTGAAGATGTAAAACCCTTTCACCCCCATACTGTATCATGTTTGCCAGTAACAACTGCTGCCATCCACCACTAGGGTTAATTACGTTTGACAGCAGTCTTTTTATCCGACTGATTTTCATATACATATAAAAGGAATGAAGATGTACCATATTAAGTCCACCTTGTGAAAATATCACCAATAAGTGTATTATGCTTAATTCTGTCGGGTTTTCAATTCCATATAAAACATAAAATAATGAAGTGAGTTAAGTTAACCTAAAGTGTGATTGGTTTGCCAATGCAATCATTAAATTACTAATTTTGAAAGAGCTGGTGATTTAATTACTGTAATTTTCCCCAATGACGTGAGTTCACGATGCTGTCAGCTCTTCAGAATTGCAGAAACCTGTTTAATCTTCTTGGCAAAATTAATTTCTGTGACACAGTTCAGATTGAAAGAGAATTTAATCCATAAAGTTTTAAAATTTAAAATTGACCGATAAAGTTTAAAGCCAGAGCAGAGAATAAGATCTGAATACTTTTTACTTCCAACCTATAGTGTTTTGTCTATGAAGCATTTCTTTTCAAACCTGAAATTTTATAAAACGATTCAAAACATGAAAGTGTTTCCCTCAACGATATTTACCTTTCATCTAATATAAGGAATGCGTCATCTGCATCCTGGCCTAAAAGTGATTTATTATCATTGACAGTAATACCTCTTATATCTGGATTACCTTTCAATTTCAAACATAATAATTCAACACCAATTATAAATAAATAGGGAGAAAGAGGATCTTATTGTATTCATCTTCTGTCTTAATGTAAAAACCTGAGACATTTGTCCATTATTTATTACACAATTTGATGCCACTGAGAATAAAGTTTCAAACCATTGCCATACCGAAGGCCCAAAATTAAAGCTTTTACATGAATTTAAAAAAAAAACATTCTAAGGAATCAAACGCCTTTTTCAAAATAAACAAGTAATAAAGAGCTAGCCTTATTATTTTCCTCAAAATAGTGCATCAAATCATAGAAAAGATGTGTGTTCTCATTCTATAAATCTATATTTGATGAAACCTTTTTGTGTATCAATTATGATAAATAGTAAAACTGTTTTTATATAGATTATACCGTTGATTTTGCCTGTTTGAATTGTTTTACACTAGTCATTTTAGGACCCTTTATAACTTGCTGTTCGATGTGAGTCAAGGCTCCCTGTGATAGGCCGTACTTTGGACTATAATTATAAAAAGGAAGATGTGGTATGATTGCCAATGAGACAACTCGCCGCAAGAGTCCAAATGACACAGAAATTAACAGCTGTAGGTCACCGTACGGCCTTCAACAATGAGCAAAGCCCACACTGTATAGTCAGATATAAAAGGCCCCGAAATCACAAATGTAAAACAATTCAAACGAAAAAACTAACGGCCTTATTAAAAAAAAAATGAACGAAAAACAAATATTTTACACAGCAACAAACGACAACCACTGAATTACAGGCTCCTGACTTGGGACATTTGTTTACTTTTTACACATTCTGACTTTGTTGTAGAGTTGTCTCATTTCTATTGAGACTATAAAGTCTATTAGCTATAACAGCAGAAGCTATTTAAGATCAGTATTCAAAAGACTATTAGCCCTAGGACGCCAGTTACTTATATACTGTCTATAAATAAACTCATCATAGATACCAGGATTTAAATTTTGTTTTTACGCCAGACGCGCGTTTCGTCTACATAAGACTCATCAGTGACGCTCGAATCCAAAAAAGTTAAAAAGGCCACATAAAGTACGAAGTTGAAGAGCGTCTATCTTTCCCTCTTCAGGAATGCAAGTTATAACACTTTGATACTTAAAAGAATATTTTCCTCCTTACTATCCACAGTGAAGTGACCAAAAAACAAAAGGACCAGTATCTTTCCAAAATGTTTATAAAAGTGTACAGTGTACCCATCAGAACTTTGACTTGTACCATTTGTCATCAATTTTAACGAATCAGCTTTTTCTTTAAAAGTAAAATTTCCTTCACAAAAGTCACATTGGTCTTTTTTGAGCTTAATGTTATTATTAAAGAATGGTGTGTCATCACTAATTCAAAATATTTTAATAGCTGAAAAAATATGTAAGATACACTTTAAGTTGTGTAAATGTCAGGTCATGAAACAAAGGTATAACTTAAAACATCAATAACTTTTAATTTTAGTGAAAGAAAGGCAAATGTTAAACACAGTAGCCAGCAAACACTTTCAAAGTGAAAGGACGACTGGAATGGAAAGTATGTATATTTTACATTATAAAGTAAAAGGTAAACTGCTTTTGGCAAAAAAATCATATCCTTGTGATTTCATGAACGTTTAGATGGTTAATCGTTGTCAGTTGGAAATATTTCCCCAGCTTCCAGAGAAAACAAGGGGAACACAGGCGAATTTACATGAACTCAAATTGAAAGCAACGTAACGATAACCAAATTTTTTAGAACTTGTAGTAACGCTTGTGAAATGGCAATATCCGTATGAAATCCTCAAAATGCAATACTTAAACTACCTTATTAAATTTAGAATATAGAAAATAATGCAGTATACAATTTGTATCACTGACTACTACAAAAAGGTGTTCAATGGTTTCTTCACCAAGTTTAGGAAAACAATGAAAACGTACATAACTTGGTATCTATTAATTTTATTTTGTACAAAAAGGTATTAGTTGCTATAATTCTATGCAAATATTTGTATTGAAAGGTTCTTAAATAAACATCTCTACAAGACTTTTTGGTTATCCTGAAATATTCTGACCATAAAGTTGTATCAATAACAAACAGTTCTCTCCATTTCAAAAATTTGATGTTGGTAGTTGAATAACTACATCTACTAAGTTTTATATACACATTTGGCATTCACGTTACGCATAATTTTCTTTAAGAAAATACCACCAGTGTTAAATCTAAATCATGATTTAAACAGTTCTCTCTAAGGCGGTTTTTATTTTCATAATGGTAAGGCTTTTTGAAATCAGGCCATAATATTAGAAAAATAGTTGATTTGTACTCTGTCTTGTACCCATCTACAGCCATGAGGTTATTTTTACAGTAACTTCAAAAACTCAGATACTTTCAAAAATTAAAACCATGTACTGTAAATATCGATTGTTTAATGACACCCGCTACTAGTGAATCTACTCCTATCATTTCTTCTTGTAAACATAATACAAATCCACAATTCAGGGTTCTTTTTAATTATTTTAATCATTAGATCATGGTCCTTCTTCATCTATGAAAGAACGCATCATCGAGAAGATTTATCACCATACCAATAGCTGTATACTAATTACTCCTTTCCGAAAAGATAGAGAATCTTTTTTGACAAGGGAACTAGTTACTGCAATGCCATATGGTTGTAATAATATCATCAAAGGAGCATCCATGTCCAGTTCACAATGTTAAAACAATATTGTCGACATCGCGATATTTACAATGTTAACATGATATCGTGTCAACATAGTTTACATTGTATGAAGTCTTATATATTGTTTACATCGTTGACATCGTTAACATCGCGATGTATACAATGTTGTAAAAATATCGTGTTTTCATCGTTTACATCGCAATATCAAAATGTTATCACTATATTGTCTCAACATCGTTTACATTGTTACAGCTGTTTCATACTGTTTACATCGTTTACATCGTATACACCGCGATGTATACGATGTAATAACGATGTAGAGTTTACATCGTTTACATTGCAATATTAACAATGTTAACAAGATATATATTGTCAACATCGTTTACATTATAACAACTCTTATATATTGTTTACATCGTTGACATCGTTAACATCGCGATGTATACAATGTATTATCAATATTGTGTTTACATCGTGTGCACGATACGGTGTCAACATTATTTAAAATGTTTGAAATGTAATAAAATATTTTCATCGTTTACATCGATACATTACAATTTATAAACCATATATTATGGATTGTTTATGTGTCAAATTTTGTAACTGGATAACAACACGGAGATGTCAGTATATATTCAGGAAACTGCCGGGGTATATAATACATTGTTTACCCCAATTGGAACATCAACAACGTCATCATAGCAAACGTTACTATGTGACGTAGACTTAAGCTATGCAGAACACTTAAAGAATGTAAGAGGCTCTCAGAGGGAAAATAATGACGTGTGTCCGTCAATAGTATGTTTTTAATTTAAAACCGAGCTATCTACACATTCAATGCTTAAGTAATGTTTTAAAGTGCTATTACAAATTATTGCATATATGATTGAATTATTTTCACAGCAAATTATAAAATCCTTTACATATGCGGAAAATATCAAGTTGTTTTTTCAGTATTTGTTGTTGTTAAAAAAAATGCATAAAAAATACAAACGGTATACATGGAATCTAAAAACTTTATTGAAAATTATTAATAAAGAAAAAAATATTTGAGAAGATGGAAAACTTGTATTTAAAAGAATTACACAAAATATTAGGAAATAATGAACATGTACTGAATATACATACTGCGTGGTGAATGTTTATGAAATACCTGGTATTGGTAAAAACAAATAGGCAGGGATAATCAGTAATATATGTGTAATTCGAGTTTCAGACAGAGTATTTTATGTGACATTCCTGGCTTAGGGTTTATACGTTGTGAACGATGTAAACAGAAAGGTATAGACTTTATATACAACATAAACCTAATATTGGCACGATTTTGTTAACTTTGCGATGTTTACGATGTGAACGATGTAAACACAAAGGTATAGACTTTGTATACAATATAAACATAATATTGGCACGATTTTGTTAACTTTGCGATGTTTACGATGTGAACGATGTAAACAGAAAGGTATAGACTCTATATACAACATAAACACGATGTTGCCACGATATTGTTAACATTGCGATGTATACGATGTGGACGAACATATATATAGATAGGATACAATGTAAACACAATAATGACACGATAAAGTAGACATTGCGGCGTTGACAATATCGACAAAACATCGTGTACTGGACATACTTCCAAATGAGTAGGAAATTTGTCAAGTCCAGCCTGCAGTGATGTAAATGCAATGAGTTTATTTAATACTACCTTAAAACCCCAGCATAGTCATGGGCAAAACATTACCAACGGCCAAATGTTAACAAGTCTTCCAAATCTAGATCGTCCTCTTGGAGCTTTGATGACATTCTTTCACATCTTCATAATCCGCTAGGGTTACATTACTTTATATCTTTTCTCTTTTAACTACCCGTAAATGTTTAAGAGATTATAATTATGCACTTGACAAGGGATGCATAGATACATTTTCGCTAATATACAGACTGGTCAGTGTAAATTGTGATGTAGCACTTTTCCGTCTTTTTAAACCAGTAAGATCGGAACCTTTAGCTGATGAAAAGAGGAAATGCCTTCCTTTTAAGTTTACTAATAAATGAACTAATGCTATCAACATCAGCAACGTTCTACATTACAAGCAGGTAACATCTAAAATTATACTTTTTTTCAAAATCAGTCTGTTCCTAATGTATCCTACAGTTACACCAAAACCATTGCACCTAAAGTATTTAACTATAAGCAAGCATTGCATAACCTTGATTGAGAAAAATACCCCCCCCCCCCCCCCCCCTCCAAAAAAAACAAACTCCAACATATGACTATTCCCACTCGCCTTATATTCACAGCCCCTCTGTTCATGTTATAACTGTGAATCTAAACATAATTCAACATGAACATCTCCGAAAGGTGATATCCCATGGTCATAAGTAATGTGAACCCCAACACATCAGTTGGAACCATATCTTCAAAATAATTATGGATTCCATTTAGGACTATGCCAAAGCATGGGTTAAACGAGAAGACGTTGAACTGGACACTTTTTAAGAATGGGTAAACACAATCAGTTCTCTGATAAAATATCGAGTTCATAAGTTGAAAAATTGTGTGAATGATCGACAAAGTCTGTTTTCAGAGACAAATAAGCTGTGAAATGTCTATCATCTCTTTGCGATCAATATGTTGTTGTTCCTGTGGACAAAGCTTTAACTAATATTGTATGAGTGTGTAAAATGTACTACTATGAGTGTCTATTAAAAGATTAATGAATAAATGGACACTCAGGTAATCTTAAATACGAAAACATATCATTTGACGAGGATGAAATGTTGGTGAATCATAAGTCCTTCAAGTCTTCAATAAACATTACATTGAACAGCAAATCTGAGGACTTACCTTGTTTGTATTGGATACATAAGCTTCACAAAATTCCGTACAAACAACGGTACATTGCCGGCTCATTTGCATGTTCTACAAAGGAATTGTCCATTAGATTGACAAAATGTCTGGCCGCAGTGAAAGAGGGTATTCAGAAATACTGTGAAACTGTTTACTCGCGTAGTGGTATAAACCATATGTGGATTCTAAAAAAGAACTTCTTGTTAATTTTAAATCTCGATCGTTCTCTGAAATGAGTTCTATCAAAACTTTTAGTTTTTTCAACCCTGTATACCACCATTCCCCATGTGAAATTGAAAAATCGTCTAAAAGAAATAATCCACTATGCTTTTTAATATAAAAATGGCAACATACGTTATAAATGTATTGCTAAGGTTATGCCAAAAAACGTTTCGTCCTGTTTATTAAAAAGTTCATTGGAAGATACCAAGACCTTGTTGATAAATATTCCGTAACAACTTCACAAATAATACATGATGGTCTTGAATTATAGATTCTAGGTACTGACGTTGTTTAGCATCTTAATTACGTGTTGAAGTTCCCCTTTTTGCCCTTCTATATTTTTAACCTTTACTGCTTACCCATTTTTGATTATATACTGATGACGTGGATCGGTACTTATACATCCCGCCACTGTGTTATTGTGCTATGGTCTATTTTGTGTTCTTGTCTTCATTTTTGCTTATGTACTTTGTCTATATATGCCATTTTTTGTTTCTACGTTGATAGTTATTTGTGTTTTAGGATTATATTACAATGTTGATTGTTGAACCCTAATTTTTAACGTTTTTACCTTGTATGTCTGTTTGTTTTGCTCACACATTTTTGTCAATATAATGCAATTCTATGCGACTGACATACATGTGAGAGGTGTAGCTAGCTATAAAACTAGGTTTAAGCCACCATTTTCTAAATCAGAAAATGTCTGTACCAAGTCAGGAATATGACAGTTGTTATCCACTCGTTTGATGTGTTTGAGCTTTTGATTTTGCCATTTGATAAGGGACTTTCCGTTTTGAATTT